TCATTATTTTTCTTTGCATATATATTTTTTAATCTGTTTATTTGTTCACGAATTTATTCACTGATTCTTTCTGGTTTATATGTTTAATTATTTACTTTTCTATTTATTTATCCCAGGAAAAAAATAAACGCCCGAACGACATTGTCATTTTATTTATTTTACAGAAAATATCAATCGTTGCCAATTCTAGTTGGAAGCTAGCTGACAAAAAAGGAAAAGAAAAAAAAAAAAAGAAAAAGAAAACAAAAATCAACTTTTCTTATTCAAAATGCTACAAACAATCGCATTTTTTTTCCTGACTCTTCTTTTCGTTACAAACCGAAAGGAAAAGAAATTAAATTAATTTTGATCACGACTTTCAGATTTCACTCACCTTTAATTTCCAACCTCTAGTAGCCAATGCAGCTTTAACATCTCTCTGTACAATCATAACAATCCCTGTGGTCTATGTTATCTACAGTGACTAGCTATAGTGAACTTTTAGTGTGCAATTTTTTCTCTCTGGTAAAAAAAAAAAAAAAAAAAAAAAAAATCAAGGTGTTAAAACACACATATGTTATCGTTCTTTCCCAAAATGGAAAACAAAATAAGATGAAAAAAAAGGAAAGAAATGAAAAGTTTGGCCTTCTTCTTGAGAGAAAAAAAAGGTTTATTACACATTCACACAATCACACCTCTTTTTTCACTACAGCGGTAAAATTAATGAAGGATAATTAATCTTGATGATATCCAGCGCCCCTCTTATATATTTTAGTGGCCATTTTATTTGTGACAAATGCTTTCACAATAAATGTGAAGCTGGGAGAGGAAAACTCAGAAGAATGTAATATGTGCGTGTTATTTTCGGGCAAGAAAAAATATTGAGGGAACGTTTTCCTTTTCTGAAAATGTGTTCACATGTATACTCCATCTACACCCACACCCATATACATAAGTATATACATGTGTGTGTGTGTGTGTGTGTGTGTGTGTGTGTGTTGTGTGTGTGTGTGTGTGTGTGTGTGTGTGTGTGTGTGTGTGTGTGTGTGTGTGTGTGTGTGTGTGTGTGTGTGTGTGTGTGTGTGTGTGTGTGTGTGTGTGTGTGTGTGTGTGTGTGTGTGTGTGTGTGTGTGTTGTGTTCATACACTGTGTCTCTTCTTGTGTTTTATTAGCATAACACAACAGTATCAAGAACAACACTTTCGAAAACAATTTTAATTGATATCCATCAGTTTATTCCGTCATAAGCAATACCAAAATGATAACAGCTCTAAAGGATGATACAGCGAATCTTACAAATAGCTGTATCAAATCAATCTTGAAATTGTGTGTTTGTGGCACTGTTGTGTGATGACGCTGTAGTGTGCTTGCCCGGGCACCACAGGGCCAGAACCACGACTGTTATGGAAGTGGCACTGGGGCCGGGGGTTGGAGTTGCTCCCTGGGTTAAAAGAGCAAAACTCCGGCTGATAAAGAGGGTATGCTACAAAAACAAGGGGTAAAACTTCTTAGTTAACTTTGTTTATAAGTGGCTACATAGGCCTACCGATTGATACGCCAGCAATGAAACTGATATCACAAAAGGTTCACAAGTTTCTATGTACACTTCTGTCACGACGGATATACACCTACATCGCTCTGTTAAATTCTAAACACAGTTGTTAAAAAACAAAAGCTATTAATATTTCCTGTCTTATATAATTCTGAAGATTGTGCAACATTATTTTTTTTATTTTTGTTAAACTTTACATCTATGTTTTTCACGGTAATAATATACGTTTTTCTTTTCTTCTTCTATACAATAGGCACCTTTCAATTTCTTTATCTTATAGACTATACTAGAAACATTTATTGTGACTATAAAGATTACTACAAGACCCACTGAGCTACACAAGTGTTTATATACAAAGCTTTGGCGTGACTGCACAGGAGTGTGGGGCTCTCAAACAGTAGAATAAAGCCCAGTTTTGTAAGCTGGGGTATTTAACAAAGTCCGAGGCACTAGGGGATGCCAACGAGTGCCAACCGTCCCTGGAGACTAGAAACAGACTGACCTGTGCTACACGTATCTCTGAACGCCTGACATTCGTATGCAGGAAAGGTTAAATGTCTTTAAAGTATTTGGAGAAAAGAAATGAAAAGGAGACAGATTTATGCATAAAATAGATAAACAAGAGGTGTATTTGATCTATCTTGTATTCTTTTTACCGAGCCTATAGGAATTAATTTGGTAATCGAAATCTACTTACAGAGAAAGCAAAAGTATAGATAATCATAACAAAACGTCAATGGTAAATCTAAGAAACAAGAAAGTATAATAAAAACGTAAAATAATCAAACGTGAATAATTATTGATATCGAGTAAATTCATCCATTCTTCATTGCATCTCCGCGGCCATCTCCTCGACTACTGGACGATAGGCCTATTAGCATCCCCTGTGAGCCCTCCACAAAGTCACATGTGTCTTCTGGACGACTTTGAAGGCTGGGTCTCCAATGTGGAGTCTCCGGACTATATATATTTATATATATATATGATTTTTTATTGTATCATTAATAATAATAATAATAAAAGAATGGTAATTTTTATAACGAACTTGCTGTCCCCCAAAGATAATGTTATTCGAAAATGGTCTCCCGTGTTTAAAACCTGGACTCAACAGTACACTTCCTCAAAAATCAAAAGTCAGAATTGAAAAGGTCTGAACGAAGGAATCGATTGGGTTAGTTAAAGAAGACAGCATGAACCAACAACACGAGGTTATAAGGTCGGAAATCCTTTAATGAATCACACTGAAAAGATCGACGACTTAAAAGGGTGTTTATTTATAATGCCTTTAATTCCTCTTTGTCTCTCCCGACTTATATAAGGATGAAAAAAGTTGTAGATCTTTGGTTCTTGATGAGACTTATTCCTCGCCTCTGATAGGCCTATGGGCGTGGTTTCCCCTCTCCCCCTCCCCACTTCTGGTGGGCGTGAAAGATTAGTTTCAGGCGTAATATTTGCACGTGGACGGGGGTGATGTACAAATTATTATCGTTACTTTTCTCTCTCTCTTCATATAGATCTTGTTTTTGATTCTTAGAACTGGACGTCATACAAGATACACAACCTATCGAGTCCTTTGGAGAATAGTTATATGTATACAAAAGAGAGATTTGAAAGATAAGGGCATCCTGTGATTGATTTTCCAATGGCTCGCTATTGTTCTTAGAGGTAAATAATCTGGTGTTGGTGAAGGTCGGCGTAAGTGGATGCATCACCTCCGTCCCAGCACAGTTTGCAAACATCTCTGATCACTTTTTGAGATTTGTTTTTTGTTTTGTTTACTTGACGGGAAGTGACTTCAGCATTTTGTGTTTCTCGCTGGACTGGACAGGTCTATGCTTTGGGTTCCTTATGAAACAAGTTTAAAATGTGATCAGGGATTTGGTGTAAGAAGACCACGAATCGAGAGAGCTTCTCATATGCCATACGCGTTTACACTTTTCATTAAAAAAAAAGCTTACGAGCATAGTGAAAAGCCCCCTTGAATGGTTGGCCTATCGACGTGGTGTGCCATTTACATGTGCCATGAGTTCAGATGGACTCACTTCAATAGCCCAAAGTAACACCATCACAAACTCATCTCCAGTTGAAATGACATCTTTTAAGAAGACGCTCGCACCCTTATTGTATTTACATAATATAGTATCTATGGAAGAACAACACAGTTAAATATACTTTTGTCCCCTTCTTTTCTTAGTTATTTTTTTTTAATTTCTTCTTTTATTCTTTGACCACGGGCGAGGATGACACAAGCTCAGACTTAAACACACGAGTCTGAGACTGAGTCATTCTGGCATTGATTTTTCTTCCTTTGTTTATATGTTCGCCTTCTCATAAGCCTTCATGAAGGAAAAGTTACATATCGACACATTATTTTTTTTTCATTTTTTTAAAGTGTCCACAATCACTGGTTTGAGGGCAAAGGAAAAGGGAGTTCCCTCATCACACACGAATTGAAACAGACCGATTTCGAGTGTGTAAATACCTTTCAACGAGACGAAAACAAATATACTGTATATATATACCATAATGAGATAATAACTGACGATAAGATAGACAGCCTTTCCGAGAACGCAAGCCATACCACAGCTAACTCCGGACGGAGTGAGACATATTGACGAGTGCCACCTGCAGGGATTACAGTGTTTTCTTTATGTTTATGTATACATACATACACATTTATGAATTTGTATATATATATATATATATATATATATATATATATATATATATATATATATATATATATATATATATATATTGATCAGGAACGAGTTTTTGAGAGAAAGTATTTCAGCATGATGCTATTTATAAAATCTATCATTAGATCCTTACAGAAATATACTGCATGACTGAATAAACGCTACTATATCTACGGCATTTACATCATGCATTCATAAACTTTTATTTTCTTACTATTGCGCGGTTTGACATTCACTCGTCATCTCTTCTATCAAATTATCATTTTGAAATACTTTTTCCCAGAAAAAACCGTACTGTCATTTTCCAATCATTCTGATATTTTCTCTTGATTCCACCGTAATTTTTCTGCGAATCAATGTCTGCAAAGCCTAGACAACGTTCCATATTCATTCGTTTTTGTTCGCATTTCTGATCGAATACCACTATCGTAACCCCTTTTGTTGCCAGATGGTTATGGATTAAATAATTTCAGTTCCTTTTCTTTGCATGCCGGCACTCTTCATTCTTTCCACTTCCCGTTTTTATCATCCTCGAATCTCTCACTTATTTCACACTCTTTTCTTTCCTCCTAATTCCTTATTTTCATATCTTGTCCTTTCCACCTCTCTCATCTCTCCTCATCCCTTTCTTCTTATCATCAACATCTGTTCTTCCTTCCTCTCCTTCCGCTCACTCGTTTTCCTTCCTTCCTTCCTTCCTTCTTTCCCTCTTTCCTTCCTCCCTTCTTCACTTATTCTTTCGAGGTGGTCGGACGGGAACGCCCATCTGCTCGGCTTCGTGCTCGGCTTTCTTCTCCTGGGCGTTGGCGACGGAGGCGGCCTTGTACGGGATGGGGCCGTAGGTGTAGGTCGCGTAGTCGACGTCGGCGTACTCCAGGTCCCCGCCGCCCAGGTCAGTCAGGAACGGCTGCGGGAGACGCCAAGGGTTAGTGCTGCGGGGAATTCCCGTTGGGGAGGGATATGTTATACATACGTTCGTAAATAAATAAACACACACACACACACACACACACACACACACACACACACACACACACACACACACACACACACACACACACACACACACTATATATATATATATCACACACACACACACACACAACACACACACACACCACACACACACACACACACAACACACACACACACACACACACACACACACACAAACACACACACACAAACACACACACACAAAACATACACACTCACACACTCACTCACACACACACACACACACACACACACACACAAACACACACACACACACACACACACACACACATACAAAAGTACATACACAACATATATACATACACACTAATACACACACTGCACACAATATAAATAAAGCTAATCCAAATCCTTCTAACCTACTAATTGACCGCCTTAAGATCTCAACTATCCAAACTAATTACGTCACGTAGCTTTCGACCAATCACACCGCTCGTCCTGTGTTTCAAAAACTTTCTCCAACCAATCAGACGAAGCCCTCCTACTCTGACCCATTTCTGCGCTCTGATTGGTCGCCCCCTTTGTCATGGTACAAACGGAAAGAGAAAAGAGGATCTTGTGGACTAATTATTGCAGGTTTAGCGTCATGCGGAGCGAAGTCTAAGGAAAAGGTAGAGGATAAGGGGAAAGAGCGAAGAGGCTAAGGGTGATTTCCTGAAGGTCAGAGGAAAGACCCAAGAAGGGGGATCTAAACATGGATATGAAAATAAAATGCAACCTAGAATAAGGACTAAAAGGTTCACAAACACACACACACACACACACACACACACACACACACACACACACACACACACACACACACACACACATACACACACACACACACACACCACACACACACCACACCCGTGACGTGTGTGTGCCTTTCCAACTGTTTTTTCTCTATATCTTATGACAATATAAAGCCGTTTTCTTGAGGGCTTTAATAAGGAGATTATATGATCATTAGCGAGTGTCTGATTTTCTGAGTCTAATTAGCGTTGTACCCCTGCAAGTCTCTCTCTCTCTCTCTCTCTCTCTCTCTCTCTTCTCTCTCTCTCTCTCTCTCTCTCTCTCTCTCTCTCTCTCTCTCTCTCTCTCTGACCTAATCAGTGCAAACATCCTTTTTTCCTCTTTTTTCCTCTCCCTGTTTCTTAAGTCACCCCCTCCCCTCCCTGCTACCCCAGAGGAACCACTCATCTTTCCCCACACGAACGTACTCTAAGACAGGGCGAGGGGAGAGGAGAGGCCCACGAGAGGGAGGGAATGAGGGTGTGAGAAAGATGGGGCATGAGAAGAGAAGAGCGGGGGGGGGGGGGTGAATGAAAGGGTTCTAGTGGGGGAGAGGGGAGGGTAAAAGAGAAGGGAAGAGGGAAAGGAGGAGTAGTGGGGAGCTGGTGGGGAAAGAGGGGGGTAAGAAGACGGGGGAAAGGGAGAGGGGCAAGTGAGGGGACGGAGAAGTAGAGAAGTACTGATAAAGAGAAGCAAGAGTGAAAGAGAAATGATAAAGAGAGCGGCAAAATAGGGCAGCGATCAGTGGATGAGGAATGGGCGAGGGAGAAGAGAGAATAAGAGTGAGATGTGACGGGAAGGGAGAGGAGAGAGAGGAGGTGTCGTTAAGGGAGAGAGGGGACGTGTTGAGGAGGAAAAGGGGAAAGACGAGAAGAGTATGAAAGGAAGAAGGAAGAAGGAAAAGGGGAAAAGGAATCGAGAAATTGGAGGAAAGCGAACAAGGGAGAGGAAAAGACGAGAGGAGAAAGGAAAGAAGGGTAGGGAAGGGGTGGGAGAGTGGAGAGGGGAGGAGGGAGAGGGGAGAGGGGAGGGGACGTCATGAGGGCTCGGGGTTATGGCCAACCGGTCTCATTAAGGGCTGTCCCAGATCAGCCCCGGGGTTGAGTTTCCCTTTACTGGGCGGGGGCCGGGGAGGAGAGGGGGGAGGAGGGGGAGGAGAACCGCCTTATACTAAGTCAATATGCTAATGTAATTATGCAGGGAAGATGTCGTGGGAAGAGGGGAAGGGGGGAAGGGGCGGGTAGGAAGAGGGGAGGGGGGAAGAGGGGAAGGGGGGAAGGGGTGGGTAGGAAGAGGGGAAGGGGGGAAGGGGCGGGTAGGAAGAGGGAAGGAGAAAGGAAGGAGGTTGCACGATCCTGCAAGGGAAGGGGACGAGGGGGGTTACTGGAGAGCCGAGTCACTGAGGGAGTTAGAGGGTTAAGGTGTATCCTGAGCGAGTTATCATCTTGGAAGGTGGCGTGTAAGAACGGCGAAGAAGACAGGGAGGATGGGGTCGGGGGGCCTTGGGTGGGGGTTACGAGGGGGTGGGGGGAGGCTCAGGGTGGGAGTTGAGGGAGGGCTTCTTGTGAGGCTTTGGGGGGGGGGGGTGGGGGGGGAGGAAGGGTAGACAGGAGTAGTGGAGTTGGGGAAGGCGTGGGATGGGGTGCGTGGAGAGGGTCTCTCTCTGGAGTTTCTAAGGAGGGTGGGGGGGGGGGAGGCAATGGAGGACAAATGGGGGCGTGATGGGATGGGGGTGAAGGGGAGGGAGGGAAAGGTGTACGAGGGAGAGGGAGGGGATGAGAAGGGAGGGGGGGAACCTTCTTTGTTGCCAAGGTCTTCCCTTCTCAGAAAGCAGAAACGAAGGTGTGGGCGGATCGTAAAAAAAAAAAAAGAAAATAAGGAAATGGGGATGAGGGGAGGAGGGCGAAAGAGAGAGAGAGAGAGAATGGGAAGTGAAGGAGAAGGAGGGGGAGGAGTGGAGAGAAGAGAAGGAAGAAAAGAGATAGACAGACAGACAGACGGATTGATAGATAGATAGAGAGAGAGTGAGTGAGAGAAAGGGCGAATGGGGTGGGGGAGGAGCAAGGAGGAACAAGGATCAATCCCTCAGCAAAAAGGTACGGGGGAAGGGGAGGAGGACTGGGATGGGGAAGAGTAGGAGGGGTGGGATGGGGGAAGGAAGGAGGAGTGGGATGGGGGAGAGGGGGAGGGATGGGATGGGGGAAGGGGGCGGGCATTATTATCCATAGAGCGAAGCGAAGGTCAGAATATTTCTAAGAGACGCATCATCATTCATCTTCTAAGGAGCATGAACAGGAAGAGAAATAAGATAAACTAAGGGCTAAGAGACAAAGAGGCAGCTTATACCTATGATAGAAGAGACGCTATAATGATATGCAAATAAGCTTCTAGTTAAAGTTCATATGACCTTTTTTATATGAAGAAGATTGAAAACATGAAAGAATAAACCACGACTGCAGATTTAGCCAGTCAGTGCAGTTTCTAAGCTTACGTATTTACTGTCCTTTAGCATACACAGTGCATAGTGTATATCTCGCATAAATTTATTTGCAAGATCTTACCACAACTCAAATACACATAACCACGAGTCTCTCTTAACTAGGAGAGAGTTAAAAAAAACTATACTTAACATCCAGACATACAAACCTCTATACGTCGATTTCCTGGCCCACAATCGGGCCATTAAACTGGAGGATGGCATACTCTGTGTTGAGATCTCTTCTATACGAGTGAGGATGGCCATTACGGGATAAGGCTAGGTCAGCGTACACAACTCCTGGCGCGTATTTCGGGAGATGTGATTGGCTTTTTGAGGGATATGATGATTGGGTGTTGAGATATGACGTGGCAGGATGTGACTGGCTGCTGGGGTATGACGTGGCAGGATGTGATTGGGTACTGGGATATGACGTCGCGTGAGACTGGCTCTCCGAGCTGTGGGGGTATGTGGATGATGAGTATGGCTGTCGTGAGGATGGGTACGATGGATGAGTCTGATTTATGGATGATGATGAAGGATACTGTTTATACAAAGATGGCTGTCTTTGGTAGTGCTGTTGGTACTGAGGCTGGTAGTGATATGAGGACGGAGAGGAGGAGGAGGAGGAGGAGCTAGGCGTAGGATTCTGATGCTGGGATGACCCGTAGCTGGCAGTCTTTCGGTTCTGTAAACAAACCACAAACGCATTCCGGTAGTTAGTAGGGTTAGTTTCTGAAAACAAACACAAACTATTCTATTTCTTTTTGTCTCAGTTAGTTCTACAAAATACAATCCTACCTGATCGGACGATTCGGGGAAATTTTATGTATTCAACTGTCAATAACATCATATGCAACAATGGTAGAAATAAAAGGCCGAGATCATAAGAAGCAGAAACTACGAAAAAAGTAGTTAAAGAGGCACTCACGTGGCACATAGACCAGGACGGTGGCAACATAGATGCCAGTGCCCTGAGTATGAGTTGAAGAGGAAAGAGAAAAAGATAAAAACGAAGATTAGAAGTGATGCATAGGAACTCAAAGGTTTAATAGTGCTGCATGGAAATGACCTTCGTTGCTTGTGTCAAAACCCCTTTAAGTCAGCAATAAAGAAATATCTACTTTCATTTACCAGACGAGTAAAAAATGTACAGAAATACTAACAGTGCTAACTATGCACAGTACTTCCAATCAGAGTAAACGGACAGGTGAACAGATCAGCACTGACAGGTCATTTACCACGACAAACGAAACGAAACGGAAAAAAAAGAAACTGAACAAAACAAAACTCAAACCTCGGATGAATCATGTTGGGTTGGCTGGCCATTCTTACTCTTATCCTTGGCAGGGAGAGGGATATTTTGGTACGTGTGTTTTTGCTTTCCGCCACCGCCGTTCCGTGGCGCTGGGGTCGGCAAGGTGTCTGTGCTCCCCGTGACGTCACCAGTGCGTGGGTCGGAGGAGGGCTCTTGCTGGGAGACTTTGGTGCTTCTAGTGGGCC